GAACTTCCTTTTTATAAATTATAATTACATTATCACAAATTTAAATTCTACTCCAACCATTTTGTTTTTCATGAAGACCCTTCAAATATTTGAAATTTTTTGTCTCCCATAGCAGTTTCTTCTTTCTTCAACATGAGTGATATTTGTCACTTTCTCTAGGCAAATGGTTGCCTTTTTGGCTCTCATTGTCTCTACTATGTAGCCCACCCTGCTCTTGAACAGGAGATCATGTTACTTTTACCTTCCAAGTTCTTGGAAGGATGGTTACTGTGTGTCACCAACCTGGCTTAAAAAAGAGCAACTTCACACAAAAAGCTGAGTGTGAAGGGTCCCACCTGTCATCCCAGCACTAAAGAAACGGAGACAGGTGGATTGCCAGTTCAGAGCCAGCCTAAGCCTCATAATGAGATCCCCGTCTACTGCCGCTGGCTCCTCCCACAACGTGTCCCAGTGCCACAGTGGTCCTAGACCTCAGTGATTTTAGAGATATGGAGGTGAAAGAACTGGTATTTGAAAGTGTGAACACCTAAACTGAATACCAGTGCATATGCATGAATGATTTCTTTTGTTACTTTCAAGATCATCCATAATTTATCAATACATTTGAAGTCAGAATTCTTGGTGATGTGTTCTGATGATACAGTGTAGTGCACGCTGATTTGATACATAACTCTGAGACTTCAAGCAACTTTAGTAACCATTGTACTTACTTTAAATTTTTATAGTTAATAAAATACCTGCTCATTCAAGACTTTTAGCAGAAAATAGTAGCCATGGAAAAATAAGAAAAGCAAATAGCTAGCATTCTATATGCACCTAGAGGCTAAATAATCAGCCAATCCAATTTCATCGTTGCTCTATTTTTCCAATCTTTACTTTTGTCCAGTAGATGTCAGTATTGGATAAAAGCAAAATAGCATTTCCCTTACTGTTTGCACATTGCTTAGGAGAAACATGAGTTGCCCTGTCTACCTTGATGTGCACATGTAGATTTTGTCAATTCTATGTACTTAGATAATTAACATTATAGGTAACTTCTATATGCCGTTGATCTTTAATGTTATTAAATATTTACCTTATGTTTCCTCTGCCCTGTGTTTAGCAAGAAGAGGAGAAGATGAAACAGGTGTAATTAATTGGGAGCAGCTGGAAGATTGCTTAGAAACAGCTTCACCATTTCTGCTCAGATCTGTATAAACATAATTCCTCATTTTGTCCTTATCACAGCCTCTGGATTTTGAAACGAAGAAGGCATATACTTTCAAAGTAGAGGCCTCCAACCTTCACCTTGACCACCGCTTTCACTCCGCTGGCCCCTTTAAAGACACTGCTACGGTAAAGATCAGTGTGCTGGATGTGGATGAGCCTCCGGTGTTCAGCAAGCCAATGTACACCATGGAGGTTTATGAAGACACTCCTGTGGGGACCATCATTGGTGCTGTCACAGCCCAGGACCTCGATGTGGGCAGTAGCGCTGTTAGGTAAGAATAACAATTTTTATTGTGCATTAGACAAACGAAACTCAATCAGCAGGAGAAAGCAAACTCCATCACTAAAGGTGCTGCCCAGGAAGAGCAGATCATGCCCCACAAAATTTAATGAATTCTTATTACGGTAAGGATGGAAATATTGCCATAGAAATTGAATACAAACAACCAGCACAAATCCTTGTAATACTGTTTGCCGCGATGTAATGGTGGACATATCACTCAAATTAATAAGCCACGTTTTCATTTATAAAAGGTTCTGAGCAAAGCAACATCAAATCATTCACAAGATTACTGATTGGAGAATTTCAAGACAAGAATCCCTTAGGAAAGGAGACACAAATATCCCACCTTTAACATTGTAATCAAAATCACCAACCTTCCTTTCCTTCTCACATGCCAAATTATTTCAAATGCACATTCCCCAAACTCTTAAATGACCCCATAATCAACCCAAGAGTCTAACATCTAATTTCTCCTATAAATAGCCACTAAACAAGACATAGAGATTCCCAGTTGGAACCATTCTAGCAAGTTCTCTAGCTGTGAGTCTTTGAACCTAAATAAGCGCTGAGGTTTGAAAATATGTGGCATGTTACAGATGGACTAGGTACTCCTATTCCATGTATAAAAGAGGGAAGGAAATAGCACTGTTACCTTCATGGTTCCAAATGTTAGCAGGAGGAAGTCCACAGGACTTGCAGATTTATTAGGAACAACTTTTCTTCAGATCTGGGCTTCTTTATATGACAGATTTGCTGAGTCAGGAGTCTTCTAAATCCATTGGAATGATCCACAGTACATACCACTTCAAAACTAGTGTCCCCTCTGTGACTTTCTGTGTCAGTGCCACCTAGGTATTGTAGCTAGAGTTTTTCTGGTCCTGCCGGGCCCATGATCAGGACAAATCTCTCTCAATCACCAGTCCCATAGCTGCCCAGACCCAACCAAGTAAACATACAGAGACTTGTATTGCTTACAAACTGTATGGCCATGGCAGGCTTCTTGTTATCTAGTTCTTCTATCTTAATTAACCCATTTCCATTAGTCTATACTTTGTCACGTGTCTCGTTGTCACCAGTAACTTACATCTTGCTTGTCATGGTGGCGGCATGCAGCGTCTTTCTGCCTCAGCCTTCCACTTCCCAGAATTCTCTTCTCGGCTTGTCCCACCTATACTTCCTGCCTGGCTCCTGGCCAATCAGCATTTTATTTATACAGAGTGATATTCATAGCATAGGTATATAAGTAACAACTGCAGAATAATTTTAAACTCCCCAGCCTTGTGTTTTTCCTTGGCCTTGGGTATTACTGAAACCATTTCACAAGTAGACATGCCTTCCATTGCTCATGATGCTGAATTATATCTGATTTCCTTCTTCAAGAAAGTCATATGCATTTGAGTAAATAGTTCAGTGATCTGATTCTGTTTGAGAAGTCTTACATCTTTCCTGAATTTTTCTTATGTCTCTGTTTTTGTTAATCCCTGTGTGCAGTGATTCTTCTGTAACATTTCCTTCTCTGAAATCTCTTGGCATGATGGGTGAAATCCCTTGTTCACTCCAAAACGAAGTTCTTTAGTATGTGATCCAAAGAATAACCCTCATATATTCTTCTAAAATTCATTTTTTTGTAATTTTTTTCTTTTTGTAATATGCAAAGGCTAAAGTATTAAAATTTTATATACTGATATCCTTTTGCTTAACAATCCCATTTTCAATTAATTTGTCTCCTTTGATGTTTGTGTAAGTATAGACTCACAATCTAATTCATAATAATGTGGTTCTTATTAAATCTAGGATACATACTGAGTTTAGTATCTTCAAAGTTGTATCTTTTGATAGAAGAGTGTTGTGACCTGAAAACTACTCCAAAATTCTCTACACATGGCCACATGAATTGATACTGCTCTGGTATCCAATAATGTGTGTGTATGTTTGCCTGCCTCCCTCCCTCCCTCTCTCCCTCCCTCCCTCCATTCCTCCCTATTTCTATTTCTCTCTCTCTCTCTCTCTCTCTCTCTCTCTCTCTCCTGCTTCACTCCCATGATCTCTCTCTCTCTCTCTCTCTCTCTCTCTCTCTCTCTCTCTCTCTTCTTTCTTTTCTTTTAATGTCACCCATGGAATAGTATTGTAAAGCATTTCCTCTAACAGAAATTATTATTTCTGGATTATTTTTTGTTGAAATTACAAGTTAGTTATATTTGTCCACTCCCTTTGTCCTTCCAACTATGCCATGTACTGTTCTCTACTCTCTTTCATATTCATAGCTTCTTCAATAATACGTTTCTTATTTATCTGTAATACATCATCAGATGGGCTTTATCATTTGTGTTCAACCAAGACACTGCTCAAGGCCTCTGGATACTCTCAACAAAGATAGAACCTTTTTCTAAAGTTACCCAATTCTTTTCTCTTCCATTAGACCACTTATCAAAATCATTCCACATAGCTATACATTATAGACATTCAAAGTTCTTTCAGACCCTGGACATCTTTTAGTTAGGGATCTGTTACAAAGGCACCTGCCACTTGGTACCAGTTTGCTTTCTGACCATTTCAGTTTTCTATGACAGAGCCCTATAACATTTGAAGCAAGAAACATTTCCATGGCACAGTCAGGAAACTTTGAAGTCCGTAACCAAAGTGAAGGTAAATACAGCATCTTGGTAGCATCACCATCTTCCTCTGCTGCATGGTCTTCTTGTATTCATAAATTGAAGTAAGGAGCAGCTCCTCCAAGTTCTAAACAGGTCAATTAGCAGGCTAAAGAAATGGCTCAGCAGTTCAGAGCAGAGGCCACTCTTCCAGAGAACCTGTATTCTGTTCCCAGCACCAAACTGGTGGCTTACAACTATCTATAACTCCATGTCCACGTACATCCATACCTTCTGTGTCATCTTCAGACAATGTACACACATGGTACACAACAATGAGTATGGGCATGCACACATACATATTAAATAAATAAATATTATAGAAGGACAGTGATCTCTATCTTAGGAAAGCCACGCAGATTCATTATCTCTCCCCCTAAGGACTTATCCCCTAACTTCACACCTTCATACTTAGTTTAGTATTTTGACATAAGAATGTGTGTGTGTGTGTGTGTGTGTGTGTGTGTGTGTGTGTGTGTACGCGCACGTGCATGTGCGCAGATGTGAAGTGTGTATGTGTGCATGAAAGCAAACATGTGCATGCATACATGAGCATTTATGAGCATATAGAGGAAGAGAAAGATGCCCAAGTATCTCTCTATTACTCTCTGCCTTATTTTCTTAAGAAGCAATTTCTCCATGAACCTGTATGTAGTCCTGTGGCAGCACGTGTGAGTGATCATACTGTCTTCAACTGTACCGAGCTGAGGATATGAATATGCATTAGCATACTTATTTTCATATTTTGTTGTTGTTTCTGTTCGTTCTTGTTTATTTATTCCGTATGGATAACGGGATCTCAACTCAGGTTCTCATGCTTGTTAAGCAAGCCCCCAAATAATGACATAGAGACGTATTATTAATTATGAAAGCTCACTCAGCCTTAGCTTAGGATAGTTTCTAACTAGCTCTTATAACTTAACATAACGCATTTCTATTAATCTACATGCTGCCATGTGGCTCATGGGTTTTTAACCTCTCCTCCTACATGTTCTGTTTCCTTATGTATGGCTGACAACTCCACCGTCCTTCTTCCCCATGACCACTTTGTAACACAAATCTTCAAAGGTCTTATTAATAAAAAAAACCTGGAGCTAGGTATTGGGGTGAATTCTGAAAGACCAGAGAAGCAGAACAAGCCACAGCTAACCTCACCTCGCCAACTTCTCAGCCGATCTTGTTTCCTCAGACTGGAAGCCTCTGAGTCCTCAACCAAATGGATCTCAGCTGAATTGCTGTTAAAATCCTAGAACTTAAAGGGCTCTAGTTCTTGGTTTTCATGACCTATATTCCTTTCTGCATCCTGCCATCACTTCCTGGGATTAAAGCTGTGTGCCACTATTCCTTGCTCAGTTTCCAGTGTGGCTTTGAAATCAAAGAGATCCAGATGGATCTTTGCCTCTGGAATGCTAGATTAAAGGCATGTGCTACCACTGCCTATCCTCTATGTTTAATATAGTGGCTGTTCTGTTCACTGACCCCCAGATAAGTTTATTAGGGTGCACAATATATCAACCACACCACTCTGTTCCCAGAAACCCTGCCTAAACTCTTTCTGCCTACCTACTGGCCATTCAGCTCTTTATTAAACCAATCACAGTGACAAATCAGTGTCAAGGAATATTCCACAACATGTCTTGTGTTCAAGAGAGAACTCTAAAAAGTACATCTGACTTATGTAAGGGGAGAGAAACAATTACTGGTCAGTTTTCATTTTAGTGCAAATCCTCTCCAGGTTCTTCATTGGAAACAAGCTATATTTTTATACATGTTATCATTACAACACCTTTAAAATCTACACACAGACACAGTGGTGGGCAAGAGATTCACAATACCATTATCTATTGGTATGCTGTCGTTTGTCAGTCATGTTGCTGAAGCCCTTATCACTCTGGGTTATTTTGTCATCAGTAGGAAACATCTGGTGAAGAGATTGCTCTCAATTTTTGTAGAACATAAATGGTTATAACAGGCTTTCTTTTGAGCCACCTACCAACTCGAAAATCATGACACAGAGACTTAATTCATTTTGAATGCTAGGGCTTATCTTAGCATTTATTTCTTGCTAGCTCTTATAACTTAAATCATCCTGTTTCTCTTCATCTATGGTTTGTCTTGGGGCTTTTTAACCTTTCTTTCTTTCTGTGTGTCTTACTTCCCTGCTTCTTCTAATGACTGACTGGCTGGTGACTGGCTGGCTTCTGGCCCCAGACATGTCTCTCTCTTTCTCCCCATTCTCTTCTTCTTCTCTCCTCCTATTTATTTTCAGCCTGCCAGTCCCACCTATCCCTCTCCTGCCTAGCTATTGGCTTTTCAACTTTTTATTAGACCACTCAGG